GAACTAAAGATTTTATTATGGTGCTATTACAATAAACTCAAAATTAACGTGTGTGAAGTAATCTACGGGTGGACAGCTATCAACGAAGTAGAAGTTGATAATGACAGGGAGAGTGTTTTAGATGTTAAATTTTGAACTGGGTGCAGTGTGACAGCGACGTAAGTGTTATACACCTGATGATGGCCGTCTGAGGCCGAAACATGTAGTGTAGGGAGCAAGATCAAAGACACAAGAATATATTGTTTGCACTTGAGACGGAGGTTATATCATTTATCGTATGGAGTGCAACAGGATGCTTAAATATAATATTGTTCTCTTATTTCTATAGTCTTAAAAATTTTGTAGCTTTGTTACAGATGGGAGGATATTAAAAGACAAGTATGAAGATCTAAACGATTTAGCTGTCTCAGGATGTTTTTCAAGCGGTAGATCTTTGTGATTATGATGATGAAAGTTTCGGTTCAATGAAAGGAAGAGATTTTTTGACCAGCTGAATAACTGCTTTGGGAAAGCTCAGTACAGTACAATTAGTGTATAATTCTTTACTGTAGATCCTTGATGCTTTGTGTGATATGCTCTGATATCAATATTGTTTCGTTTAACATATTCTAAGTTTTAACTTATTACAAATTTTATCACCATTTTGAGTAGTTATGTCTCACTGTCCATAACTACTTATACCCTGGAGGTCCATCTTTGTCCACTCATTAGTGCTTAATGCTATTGTTCAGGCACTGCACTCTCCTGTCCACTACTGACTATATAAACTGAAACTTCTTTTGTTTTACAGAAGAGGAAATGTGTGATTTACTATATTGTACACTTGCAGATGTGAATGTGTCTATGCATGTATGAGAAAGCTAGGGAGATGGAAAGACATTATGTGGAACCTGTAAATGAGACTGCTTATATGTACTAATATAAAAAAGTGATGATTTTGCATTATGAACTATGGAGTAGCCTTACGAAGAATGTCATGTGCTTTCTGTACTATATATTAGACTAACAATCAAATAATATTCTTTCTTAGCCCAGATCAGAAATTATAGCAACATATGCACTATGTGGATTTTCAAACCCAGGAGCCATCGGCATAATGATCGGTGGATTAGTAATGTTGGCCCCTGAACGGAGGAGTGCAATAACTGAGGTGGCTTTCCGAGCCTTCATTGCTGGCAGTGCCACCTGTTTTCTCACCGCAAGCATAGCTGGTAGGTTTCAGCTTAATTTCTTTCTACAGTACTCCCTGCAAATTCATTCATTTCCTTTTCCTGGTTTTGTGTATTGTGGCTGAGCTGCCATCAGTATATTATATTTTTTTAATTGCAGAGCAGAGTCTTTTATGTTTCAATGCTATATAGGCAGGGGGAAGTCCACCAACATTTAGGATGAACATATTGCTTTCATCTTCAGAGTGAAAGGGTAAGCCAAGCAATGAGGCAGCTGAAAGAAGTTCTCGTTTTGCTGCCTTCTTCTTGCTTACTTTTTGGCCTTGCAGATGGAGTTGATATGTTCCTTCAAAACTTCAGTGGACTTCCACCACAGTAGAAGATCTATCTATCTATCTGTCTATCTCAGAAGATAGTACCCTTCATAGTCACTGCTATGTGAGTACTTTAAATCCAAATTTATTTTAAAAATTCCTTGTGATGCATTTTCATTAATCTTGTATGGCTTCTAATCCACAATGTGCAAGTCTGTCTGCCTTAACCTTCATCTTACCATGTTATTGGGAACATCTTGTAAAGTTGATCTTATTTTTATTCTTTCTGTGCACCCATGCCTCCAAAAATAAAGGTAAGAAGTGTTGCCAATGTGAAATCTGTGAGAAGGGAAAAGAATGATTCACACTTCATTAAAGAGATACATACATTAAGCAAGCCCTTGAACTCATTTGCAATTTTCACGAAACAATATCATGTCAGGAATATATCCCTTGTGAATATGGATGTGTGCCTGTATATTGATTTTTATCAGAATGAGGTAGATATCACATGAACATAGGTAATTCATAAAGAAGGTAACAGTTAGTAATGGACATATTGGCATACTTCCTACTGAAGCCTTCACAGTGTCAGCAACATATTTTGTGCTCTATAATGCTTTAAGCACATCCACATCCTTACACTGGCATGTGGTTCTTCAGTTTTCTGTTGACTGCTTCACACACAGTATTGAAATANTCACAAATTACAGATTCACTATTACTGCTATCTTCAGTATCCCAAATAGTACACTCCAAATGCCACAATACAACTGACTGGTTGCTGGCTAACTCGGCGGTCGGAGGTAGCTCCTGGACTCACTGACTGACTCAGTACAACTGACCGTGAATAGCCTTCGCTGCTCCTTATGTAACCTCGATCGGACAATACGGCCACGTAATAGGCACCCTTGTTGCTAGCCACGCTGTCCGGTTACGTCACCGCTGTTGATTCGCCTTGCATAGTTACCCGGTTACGGGGCTCGGCTATCTTTGGCTCCGCTCGTGACGTCACCGCGCATAGCTGCCAGGATGCGGGGTGATTACTCGCCTATTACGCGAGCGTTACGTTACCGCTGAGGGGTGGGAGGGGAGCGCTGACTCACCCGCCGCGTCACTGCTGGTGTGGGGGGGGGGCTCGGCTTTGCACAACATGTCACAATATTTTGTGCTTTATAATGCTTTAAGCACATCCACATACTTACACTGGTAAGTGGTTCTTCAGTTTTCTCTTGCCTGCTTCACACACAGTATTGAAATCAATAGGATTAAATTAAATTACTTGTATTATAACAGTTGAGATAGGAGTATTTTTTCTTTCTGTTTCTGGATTAAATTTTATAAAAAGTAGGAAATGAATGAGGTGCCCAATAATTGTTTATACTTTTTTCCAACATCTTATACAAGACATATGTTACAAAATCGTTTCGCAGTCCTTCCTCTTGGTTATTGCTTAATGCAGTTAATGGAAATCTTCATTCAACCCCAGGCCAACGTGGTACTGAATGGAATGATTCCCAAGAGGTTTACTTCAGCTACTTAAGGGCAAATCTTTTGATTAAGTCATGCTGAAATTCCTATCTATCCCACTCACAATAATTATGCAATATTAATTATACTCTATTTATTCATAACATATATTGATAGTATACATGTTGGTATTGTTTTTGAAGCAATTTACCCATCAGTTTTCCTTTTGTCATTGAAAAAAGATACGTGTTCATGTAAGGAAAGTAAGGAGCAGAAATTGGAATCACTGTGTAAGATGCACCGGTGTCTTTGTTTTATGAGCAAGTTGTGATATTGTTTTGTTTTTAATAGTGTGCCATTGCAGTTCTAAAGTCTGTGACATTGATTTCTTATGTTCTCAAAGACTAGCGTTTCAAAACAGACTCCATGAAATAGGAAACTCGCCCTTTTACATTCAAATACTTCGATCTTTTTAATCCAGACAGTTGGTAATGTCCAAAGAAGAATCAGTACTTAAGTGACAATTGTAGATCAGCAATTTAAAAATTATAAGGCAGCTCTCTTGTGTGTAGAACAGAAAATTATTTTTGGAATTATTTTAGAATTTTATTTCAACATTTGTTCATTAAAATATACCACATTTTCTCAATTCTAAGATACGCATTTTGTCACTTCAACATTTCTGAAGTCAGAGTGTGCCTTATATGAGATGGAATCTTAAGAATGTATGTCAAGAAATGATATTATGACTAAAGTGCAAGAAAAAAATTCATACCTCTAATAGTAGCCATCGGGCACTAAACACAAAGATAGCAACAAAGGAGATTCCAAAAATATTTCTTGCAACTGGTCTAGACCAGCTGCAAGCTGACTTTTAACAAGATTGGACATTGGAACATGAAAATAGAAGAACACAAAATAAAAAACCAGACTGGAAAATAAAAATGTACAACACCACACTGACTGGTTCCTAACAACACAACCACCTCATAGGAGAATTAAATGAAAATAACAACTAAAACAAGTTGATATATAAGAAAAACAATAATTTTAGTAACTTAAGCAGATACAGAAAATCTGATATGTTAGTAATAATTGTAATACTGTAACATATATCCATGTAGAGAGCAATTCAATAGTTTAAAAATAAGTTATTACTGTATATCTGCCTGACGATGGCTTTTCATAAGCCAAAACATGTAGCAAGGTACCATAAAACTCAATAAACTCGTTATACACAGTTAATATGAACGAGATTTTGAGAGTTGTCATATTGTGATAGATAAAACAAGCAGTTAGTATAAGTTAACACAACAGGATGTATTCCTTGAAGACAAATCATACTATTTAGCTTGCCACACACTACTGTCATGTCAGCACATTTCATCCAATTCTGATTAATAAGTAGGCTTACAAGTAAAGTTTTCAAACAGATTGTACACATGATTTATTAAAATCTCAATTGTATCTATTGTGTTTGAAATTATATTATAATATAATTTCAAACACAATAGATACAATTGAGATTTTAATAAATCATTAAATCATAAATTGATAATTATCAATTGAATATGAGCAATATCATTAATTATTCAAACTCTTAATTATCCTTTGTAACTTCATGGTTTACACATCCTTTTCAACCAGTACTTACTTTGGGGAATTCCAACTGTCAGTGGAAGCAGTCTTAAAAGTACTTTATAATACTTGCAAATACAGTTTTGCCATATTCTTATCTGCACTCAACTATTTTCTTTCTTTCTAGGAATGTTAATTCCAGATGACATCTTATCCTGAGCCATGACAATGCCAGTGTTTATAAGTGATTTCTATAATTTTGTAGTTAAATCAATTGTAAATGTTTTTGTACTCTATACTTAGATAAAACAACGAAAAATTAGTGTTGTTGTAAAATAACAAAGATCAAATTATGGCCCATGGACTGATATGTGCCTGAAAATTTTATTGTATATTCATTGAACAAAGAGCATGAAATGAATCTGCAGGGCATTGGATGGCTCATTTAACAGTTCATATAATTTTATTCAAGCTGTTGTCTAGAAGATCTGCAATTACTGAGCAGTGAATCTCTGCAGAAGGTAAATACAAACTGTTGCAACTTCAGCCATACATTTATCATTCTCATGAATTACTGAATGTTTGTAGACCAGTCAGCTGTGAATTTTCCTCGTGTCTATGATCAACTACATTAAGATACTGAACAAAGTGTGTTCCTTGTTAAAATTTCATCATACCTTGTGGATAGATATCAAAGGGTGGAAATAAAAAACATCAATTTTAGTCATAAAATAGCTTAAAAATAGCCATACTAGGTCTGTTACTCTTTCTTCTCGATATGAATGACTTGCCAAACTTTCTTAAGAATAAATCTAAACCAACTCTGTTTGCAGATGATACTGGTATAATAGTTACCAACTCTAACCCCACAGATTTTATAAGTGACATAATGACCATATTCGAATACCTAAATAAATAGTTCAGAGCCAATAATTTTTCATTAAATTGTGATCAAACCCATCTCATACAATTTACAGCTAGAAATTGACCCCAAATTAACCTGGATGCAAGTTACATTAATAAAACAATTTTTAAAGCACATGACACAAAATTCGTTGGATTACTTATAGACAGTACATTATCTTGGAAATTATATATTGAGCATGTATTACACATGCTAAATGCAGCTTTTTATGCACTCAGGTCTATTAAGCCCTACATATCTCAGGAAGGAATGAAAATAGTTTACTATGCCTACTTTCACTCCACTGTGTCATATAGAATAATATTCTGGTCAGGAAAGTTTAAAAGTCATCCACACTTTCATGACTGAAGTACAAATATAATTTATGAGTACATGTTTTTATGTGAAAAAATAAAAGAGAATTGATGTGCATTCTTCTTAAAAATTATATGTATTTCATTGTGTTGTGTTTTTGAACTCTAATTTATGCTAGCTTATAAATTACAGCCTGTCTCTCTTTCGTCGTCTTCTTCTTCTTCTTCTCCTCCTCCTCTGCATCATCATCATCATCATCATCATCGTCCATGATATATATATACAGTGTTCATCTTACAGTGCATCCACTTTCACCTGCCACTTCGCAGCATGTTTCGGCACCATA